TGTGTGTGTGTGTGTGTGTGTGTGTGTGTATACCTTGGTCTCCTCTATCTGTACAATGGTGGCCTGGCACTCAGACAGGCTGTCGTTGATGTAGTCTATGTTTGCGTTCAGCACCTCAATATCCTCATTAATTTCCAGAAGGAGGCGGTCCTCTGCTTCTGGTCCCTCCCCATCCGCCATTAGCACCTCCCTTTTATGCGACAGTGCTTCCTGCTGGGCCGTCAGCTCCTCTCGCTTCTGACTCGACAGAACACAGAAGCACGCACAGCGATTATGACTGATGCTGCAACACTACACTGCCTGACTGTCCTTCAAATCCCTTAACAATTCAAACAGCAGGTTTTATCCACCTCGGTTTTATCCACCGAGCCAGAGCTAATCCTACCTTGATAAGGCGGTCCATATCAGCCTCCATATTAGAGATGGTCATCCTCTGCATGACGATGTCCATGATGCGACGTTCGAGGGTCTGCCACTTCTGACGGGCTGACTTGGAGAAGCTGCTGGCTCTGCCTGCTGTTCCATTGATGCCCAGAAGTGCTGGCTTCCTCTGCATCTTCTTCCTGTTGCTGGAAAGAGATTAAGAGATGTGAGAGGTGATCAGAGATGTAAATCAGCAGCCACTGACAATGACGTGCTTTAAAAATATAATGTAATGAAATGAGATTCTATTTATTATATGAAGAATCTAAATTAAAGTCTTCCCTGACTCTTAAATACTTCATAAACTTTATCCATTAGGTCAATGAGAAAAGTCCATAGCTCCGATACTGGCTGTCTGGTTAACTGCTATGTGAATACAGTCTCATTAAATACATGAATCCCAGCCAGTCTTACCCAATGACCCTGGTTCCATCCATGCTTCCCTCGCTCTCTCCCAGGTATCCCATCACATTGTTCTTGTTGTTCCACTGTCTCACCAGGCCGCTCACTATCCTCCCAGTGTCAGGTTCGGAGCTGCTCGCCGTGGTGCTGGCTGATAACTCAGCTCCAGAGTCTGTACCCAGAGAGGCCTGGTTCCAGCGGGCCACGCGTCCGGCTACGCGGTCTGACATGGGCTTGGCCAGGCGCCGCAGGGCCGTCACCTCCTGCGTCTTCCTGCGCAGCACCATCTCCTGCTGCCGCTTCTGAGACTCCAGTGCTCGAATCTGGTACTGATGGATAAGAGAGGAGACACAACTCTTTAATGTGCTTACAACTGTGTCGACTTAATCTCAATTCTTTATTGCTGCTCACACGGTATTTACATTACTGAGATTGGTAAATAAGCTTTTTGCATAACAGTCTTACAAGGTGCTCACCATAAAAGGATTTTAACTTGAAATACTAAACAACAGGATTATGAATGAGCCCCACAGTATGACAGTGTAAATGTTTCACCCTGATTAATAAACTCTCTGCTCCAGGAAACTACAAATAAAGACAGATATCTATATGAGTGCAGTACGTACTGATCTTCCTAAGAATAAAAGTGATATCAACAGTCTGTGAGCAGCATGTACATGATACATGAATCACAGATGTAGACCTCACTCTACAGAATTTCTTTTTTTAAAGCAACACTGTTACTTTTACTATGCAACAGCACCCTCTGCAGCTACACATGATCAATTCTGATGGGCTCTGTGTCCGAGCAAATATGTGGTTTCCTTGTATCCTTCCTTGTCTATCAATTTTTTGGCCTGATCAATTCCAGAATTCTAAAATCTTTTTAACTGATTTACAGTGCATGACTCTCGAAATACTGGGCCTGACTATTATCAGATACACATTTCTTACAAGAGATCGTAACCTCTCACCGTTCTTGCATAAAGCAACAACAGACTTTCAGGGTGAGAGGTGGGAATGAAAGACGCTCCATTCTCTCTATTTCTCTGTTCCATCAAAGTAATTTTGAAGCTACTTTAAGGTAAAAAGTTGACAGTGTTGCCTTAAATACAGCAGTGAAGTTTTAATTTGAAGCATGAGCTGTAACACAGATGTATATCAAATGTATACATAACATTGCTCAGATTCTTATTCTCAGCTATTTTCCAATGATTGTACAATAATTGTATTTGTGTGTGTGACATTACAAAACCTAAACTGCAAAAATTTGTAAAAATGGGAATTTGTTTGCAAAACATTCATTGTGGCTCCAGAACTGTATTGGAACTGTGTGGGGAACAATAATGCTATCAGCAGTATCAGAACAAATATATCCCTGCACAACATGCACACGTGCAGACTGACCTCCTGGCGTCTCTGCTCCTTCTTAAGTTGCGCAATCTCACGGTTCCTCTTCGCCTCCACCATCCTCCTCCTCTGCTGCTCCTCCTTCATCTGCTTCATCAGAGTCACCTGGAAACAGCACAGAGGTCAGTCTCTCTTAACTGATGTAGTATTAGTATTTCCTCCTCCAAAAGTTAAGTTCTATTTACGCTCCCACTCTCCTTTAGCTGCCCATACCTTGGCTTTCTTCATCTCGTTGACCTCAACTTGGAGTTTCTTCAGCTCCCGTTCATACCTCCCCTGGTTTTTGAGGAGACGTGCGTGCTCCTTCTGAGCAGCTTGCAGCTTCAGCAGGTCACGGTTCATCTCCTTGAGACGTTTCTCGTACTCCTGCTTGATCCGGTTCGCCTTGTCCTCAGTGTAGTTCTCCATGGACACTGTGGAGCCATGAAACGACCCTTTTAACATTTCTACTTATCAGCCAACCTACTTTTGTGTTTTTCAAATTCCTCAACCATATATGTTAACTACAAATCCCATGGTGCTCACTGAGGTTCTGCAGCACACGGTCTCTCTCCAGCTGAGTGTCTCTGATCTTGTTCTGCAGAAGGATAAGCTTCTCCTCGTACTGCAGCTTGAGCATCAGCAGCCTCCGCTGGCTGTTCTCCAGCTCGTCTATCAGCTTCTGCTTGATTTCGATCTCACAGGTCAGGTCGGCCAGGTCCGCCTGGAAGTTAGCTGTCGGTTGGAAGGGGCAAAGGTCAGACACACATTTTTATGTGTTGTGTATTTGTATATTAGTGTCATTCCTACTGGCATCAGGCCTCTCTCATGTTTTGTTTCAAAGGTTCAAAAGGTGTTGTGACAGAAAGAGATGCAAACAAATTAGGACAAGCTGTCAGAAAACAGAACAGAAATGGGAAAGAGGTCTGGTCTCTGTGTGTTGTAGCAGCTGTCAGATTCTCACCTTTCTCCTCCGAGTCCGAGTCTGAATCCACCAGACTCTCGTCACTGTCAAACTCGTCCTCCTCCTCCCTGCCCTCCTCCTCATCCTCCCCCTCGTCTTCATCACAGCCACTCTCCTCCTGCAGTGGAGACATGATGTCCTACAAACAAAATGAAATGAAAACATATTGAAACGAAAGTTAGGAGCCTGTTTTGAAAATATAAGGAGCAGAAAGTACACAATTGGTTTTAAAATATAGGGAGTAAAAGTAAACCTCAGCGTAATTGTCATCTGAATCGATCTCTCCATTCTGTCCATTTAGCCTGTTTTCTCCATTCTGCCCGTTCTCGCCATTCTCATGAGTGTGGAGCTTCACTCGTTTCTTCAGACCTTTCTCCAGCTCCGGACTGCAGGAAGAGAAAAGCATGTTGTTCAGATTAGAGCCGGTGGTGGAAGAAATGCACAACACCTCACCACATTAGGTTAAAGTGGATGTATATTCTAATATTCCAAATGGTTTTTGTCCATTACCCGCAGACACACTCTGTCTCCTTCAAGAGAGATGTCACACACTCTTACCATCCACCATTAGGGTTTTGGGAGTGCTGCCAAGTGCTTGCGGTAACAACAAACTCCTCCTCAGCTCATATACCCTAATCGCCCTCTTAGCTTTTTAAACTTTATTATCAACTTCATTCTCTCTTTTTCTCCCTCTTTTAAAACCGTGCTGCTTATTATAACCCATCCATCTCTGACTTCCCGTCTCTATCCCATTAAACTTCAATTAGCCTATTGGGCTGCATGCTCTCCTCTCTCATGACCCACTGGCCGACTGAATTAGACCTTTTTGTGTCTGAGCCAACGTTTGTACTCAGCACTGGCTTGCCGTCCCAAAGCCCTAATCGTCTTGTGATGTGCCTCTCAAGCTCGAAAAGAGACGCACGTGGAGCAAAGACAATAGAGGCAGGAAACAATTATGTGCTCATTGTGCTCTTTCAGCGTTTGCATGCACAGGTTTGTTGATAAAGACTCAGGAGGACATAAGAAATAAAGTTAAATAAAGCTGTAACGTTTGGAGATATGACGAAGAAGGACCTTGTTGGAATTTGCACATATATTGTAGAAACATGGCATGTGTACACCTCTCCTCACCTCATCCTCCTCTGCCTCCGCTCCTTCTTCTTCAGCCTCTCGATGTCCAGCTTGGCTCGGCGCAACACGTCCGTCATCTCGGCCTCCATGGACATGGAGGCAGGGGAGGAACCAGGGGGGTGGCCCGGGGCAGGGCTGAGAGTGGAGGCAGGGAACAATGAGCGGGAGGAGAGCCGGGTTGCCTGCCGTCGCAACGACTCATTCATGGCCTCGCTCTCGAGAAGCTTGGTTCTGACAGCGGACAGAAACATGCTGTTAATAGATGTTTTAGCTTACAGCGACTTTTAATTACATTTACCTTATGATTTGAAACTTTGGCCATGTTTAATATAAAGGTCCACACATCAACTTTGTAAAATGGTGACAGAAATTACTTTTATTATATTATTTTAACTATTACTATTATAGGTCCCATTTAAAAGAATATCATCCATTCAGCCAAAACATTTGTCAAGTAAAAAAGCCATTTTCAGACTGAGGTTTGATTTTGAGTTCTTACCTCAGTTCCTCAACTTCTCGAATGTAGTTCTGGATTAAAGCCCCAATCTCCTCATTGCCATCATCTGGAGGTCAAGGGTAAAAGGAGGCTCAGGTCACAGAAGCGCTCAGTAAGATAAGATTGCAGTACGAGTAATAATTGATATATGGCAAACTTAAGAGAAACATTTGTCTGTAGCCTTTATACATTAAAATTTATCACACGTCTTTCACATACTTGACTTGTTCAGCAGAGTGCTGACCTCGTTGGCCAGCAGGTGTGTCACTCGGGTATTGAGGTGGTCTATGGTCTCCTGCATGGCTTTCACCCTGAGGCGCAGTGTGTCATTTTCTCTCTGCAGCATGGCGTTCTCCTGATACAGGTCACTGAACCCCTCTGAACCATCCTCACACGCCACACGCTTCCCCTGCATCGAGAAGTCAGCATGTTTAATACAAATAATTTGGGGGCAAAAAGTCAAGACCTAAAAAACAAACTGATAACATCCACGCTTGTTCATACACTTGATGTTGCAGTCCTACCAAACACAACGCTATTGTTTGAACTGAGCTGGTCAGTGTGTGTATTGTTGTGTCCCGAGTGATTCACTTAAAGAATCCTCTTGTGTAAGCTTCAACAGAATGTCACTATCTAATGCAGTCACAGCTCGCATACATCATTACTTCCACCAGCCCAACACGCTATTACTTCACATTACATCCCTGATTACCACATTGAGGTCAATCCGGCGTCCCTCCTCACAGTCATACATTCACTTCCCTCTAGTAACCGTGGTAACTGCACAATAGACTGACAATCCAGCTAAACAACTGCTCATTTCTTGTCGTCCCAGACATCAAAGCTGATGAAAAATTGGAAACTTTGCAGAATTTGTTAAATCGTCACATTTTCTTGTATCATGCACCTCTGTGTGTTTTTTCTGTCTAATGGTCCACATTAGGTGATGAGCACATTTATTTCAAACTGATCCCTGCATTTTATGGTAAAGAGCTGAGGTTGCACCAATAAATCTCCTTCATGCACTCCAGTAAAATACATAAATGGATGTGTGTTCCAGTAAAGATCTTCAATTTGATATAAACTGCTGTAGCTGCTGGCATGGCCACTGCTTTCCCTTTAATACAATCTTCTTTTACTTCAATTAGTAGTGCCTTTTTGCTTCTTGTGCTGTTACTATTCTGAGTCTCATCCATCTTTCATTCCTCTCTTACAGCCTCATTGCATCAGTTACACTGACAGACGTGATCGCTCCCATCTAAAAGCCGCAACTCTTCTTTCCTCATCTCCACAACCCCACCTTCCCTTTTCCTCTTGATTTATCTGCTATTATCTTTTTCTCCTTGTCTGTATTTTTTCAAATATTTATCGTTTTTTTCAATCCCATCAACCTCTCACTCCTGTCTCTCACCGCCTTGTACTCCATCAACTCCAACTGCAGTCGGGCTATCTCAGCACGCAGGGCGTTGATCTGCTGGCTGGTCTTGTCTTGGTTCACCACCACCTTGTTCTTGATGTTTCGGGCACGGTTGGCGTACTTCAGTGTGTTCAGTGTTTCCATGAAGTCCCGGTCCGACGGACTGACGCATGCTATCATCACTGTACGACTAGAGAGGAAGGAAAAACTGAGCTTGTTTGGTTCATGCAGTTCAAGGAAAAACTTTTTTCCCATGAGCGAAGAGGACACATTTAATTCTCATTGTGTGTGTGTGTGTGTGTGTGTGTGTGTGTGTGTGTGTATGTGTGTGTGTGTGTGTGTGTTGCGTGTATACCTGTTGCCTCCCAATGAATCCTGTAGCAGTCGACTGAGTTTGGAGTCCCTGTAGGGGACATGACCTCCCTTTTTGGTCTGATCTCCTAATGCACTGATGACATTTCCAAGGGCCAGCTACAACACACACAAACAAACATATTCAGGAATTGATCACAAACTGTTCTGCATGCAAGAAGCGTGTTTAAATACATCTCATTACGAGCACATGGAAGAACTGTGAAGTATGTTTTCTTGCTTACATTTTTTTCTATGACAACATTCAGTAATGGTTTGTCTCACCAGTCCACAGTTAATTGAGATTCCCTCGCGGGCTCTCTCTCCTGTGGCTCCCGTGCGTTTGAGTCTCTCAGAACCAGCCAGGTCCACAAAGTGAAACTTGGCCATCAGTGTCTCGTACTCCGGCTGAGCGATGGGGCTGGAGTCCACACCGTTAACCTCCCCATTCTCCGCTCCTCCATTCTGTTAGCAGGGTGTTGGAATTTTTGGGGGGAAAATTGAAATTACTCATCACCTGTGTCTATGATGCTAAAATATTTTTTCTATTTTGTTGCAATTGCTTCATCAGCTCTGACAAAAAAAAATATATACACATATTTCTTTATCATTCCTCCAACCCCAGTCTCACCATTTGCGGCTGCTGGCAGACCCTCATCTGACAGAGGTGGATGGTGAAGATGGCGTGCGAGCGGGAGCTCTGGGCGTTCATCTGGGTGCTGGCTGTGGTGCGGGACAGGGCACCGAGCTTCAGACACTGCAGCAGCTGCAGCAAACACACACGCAATGTGGTGGACATTTAGCCATGACTCTTTACTTTTAAATTGAAGGAGAGAAAAAATTGCATCAGCAATGGTGATCATTTGCTGATATCTTAGAAAAACTTGTCACTTGTGTCAGCTTATTTAAAAAGGCAATTCTCTCACTTATAGGTGACTTCAGACTTTCTACAAACATACTGCATGTTGCAACACTGCTTGTTCAAAAAGCTGCCAACAGTTACATCTCTATTTTTCCGTCTACAATTTTATTTTATTTTTCACCCCGCCTGTCTCTCCCTTGTGACTCCATCACCTCTACAATCATCCTGATTTGACATTATCTCTCTTCTCTCCCACAGGAGTGTCCATCTGTCTCCACTTGTCTCTCAGCTGTCTCAAGTATGCATAACATGATGCAGGAAGCTAAGAGAATGTAGCTGATAGAAAAAAGGCACAGCCTGCTTTGCCTCTCTCCATATTTTTTCTCCTCTTCTTCCATTAAACTATTTTGTCACATCTTTCTTTCAACTCTGTCTGATTTTGATAAGAAGCTTCACAAACACCATAAAGTCGTCTTTTCTGGGCAAACACTTTGGCCGTGAGGCTCGAGATCACCACCTGTCTCCTCTGTTGACCTCTTCTCATCACATCTCCCCTGGCAGATATTCCTCCTGCCCTATTGACCCCGTCACATACTCCTTCTTGCACTCTGTCAGTTTCCCCTCTGGACGACCATTACTCATCCACGATACATGGCTGCATGTGAATGAGCTTGTCCAGAAAGCTAAACTTCATACATCTGATGTCGAAAAACAAACTAGCCTCATGGGTTCAACCAGCCAAGCTCAAAAACGTGTCAGAGCCAAGTCTCTGTTACTATCATCAACCACTCTGATCCGACCACATGGGTCTTGCTGGACTTTTCTAAAATGATGTGAATCTCCACTGCTCCCCCTCATCTGCATCTTCAGTTTACATTTGTGATTAATTACCACTTACTCTTACACTGCGACTTTAATTCTAAAATAAAACAAAACTCCCACTTTTATACACTTACTGTTACTGAATTTATTAAGGAGAACTGAAGGAATTTAAACAGGGTTTGTGCAAGTTTCAACAAGTTCAATTTTAGATATTTTCAAGACCACAATGCATGAAATTTAAGAAATATGTCAAGTACAACAGATATGAAGGAATATAAGAGAAACCAGAATTATTTGTAGTCTGCTGATATCTATGTCATTGAGACATTATATTCTCACTGACAAACTATGCATGCTGCCAAAAAAAATCTTTCCGGAAAAAACAAAAGTGTGTTTGAAGTCAATTAATATTAACATAATAAAGAGGCCTTAAATTCAAATAATTAAATTTGAAACACTTTTAGACTTTGAAAGACCCTGCGGATATCAAGTTATTGATAAAGAAATCAAAGCAAACATGAGCTCTGAAAAAATGTCTAAGTTACAATCAAAATATAGACCAAGTCATAGCTGTGAATGGGGGAAAATAAAAAAAATCTCTGAATAGCAAGCATGACATTTATGAATTTTTTGATCATTTTAGACCAAGAGCTGTAACACAAATGTAATGTATGGATGTAATGTAATTGTATTTTTAGTATAGACAGCATACAAATCCATAACATTTCAAAAATTACAAAACTGTGAAAATGATGCCAACAGATTCACACATGCACCCACCTCTTCCTCTGAGTGAACCAGTCTGGATGTGACTCCTGTGGTGTAGATGCTGCCGCTGCTGTCCTCGTGGATCTTGATGTTGGACTTCCTGCTTCGGCTATCTGGATCTCTGGCTGCGTCAAATAAGTCCAGGATCTCTTCATTGTACAACTACAATAAGCAAGAGTCACAGACGCATTTTAATGAACACTTTTTAACAATACTACAGATTTACACATTATCACTTTAAATTGCTTTCATAAGAAGTATTTTCAACTTTTGAGCAGATTCTCATATTGCTTTCTCACAGCGATGAGTCTTATTGACGCACAGCTCCGCCCTCTCAGAGATCAGTAAATGACCTCTCAAAAACCAATGAGGGCATAGCATCAGAGGTTAGGAAACTCAGCTGTTCCAACCTACTGCCAACCCCCACCCCCATAACCCCCTCACTCACTCACACACAAGCACCCATCTGTTTACCATCAACACAGATAACCTTTGACCTGTGAACCAGCAAAAACACTACTAACTAGGACCAGACTAGAAAGAAACAAAACAAAGTCAGAGAGAAAATGGTTTATTTCTATTAAAAGTGATTTCGCACAGTGATTATTAAAGTAAACACATCTTACACACACCCGCATATACAACCAAAACATTTCCCTGCCAGAAACAGGAAAACATTACTTGTCATATATTATCTCATTGCCGCTACGCAACCCTTCCCTCCCTTTCCTCCCTCGCTCTTATCCATCCTCTGCCCCACAGTGATGAGGAATAATGTCAGAGGTAATGGCCAACATTAATCAGGTCCAACAAAGCACAAGCAGACATTCCTGCCCATCTGTCATCAGCTTGTCACTTCCTGTTTGTGGGAAAGGGGGGGTGATCCCCTCGACTCCCCGTTTTGCCGCATCTGGTTAAGAGTTGATGTGGACCAATATGCAACCCAGCATGAACGCACGCACGCACACATACAGATGCACTTCTGCAAGCAAGAACATCAATACTGCAGTGTATGCACTAAGATTGTGGTTGTACATGTGTGTCGCCCACCTCAAGGAACTGGGCGCTGACTTTAAACTCGGGGGGCTGGGTGCCGGCCTCCTGGGAGCACACCCTCCTGTTCTGGATCCCCTCAAACAGCTGGTGAACAGCCCGTGAAATGATGCCCTGCTCCTGCTGACCCAGGCCCACGTCGAAGCCTGTCCCCATGGTGTACGTCTTCCCCGAACCCGTCTGAAACACATTTCATCATCAACGATGAGATCTAATTTGATCCTCCAAACACTGGGCATCTTACAAGTAATCTGTTTTTAAATGCATGTAATGGCAGTGGTATGTTGGTTGTATGATTGTGACTGAATCAGTCTGTGTCACAACCCACTTATTACACTGGAATACAGCATTTTAGAATGTGCTTTATCTTTGCTATATCTATTTGTCCTTTGAAATAATTAATTTTGGAATCAAGAAAACACACATTGCTGTTTTGGAGATCTGGATGGGATTTTTTCACCTGTCAAATGGGGTATATTAAAAAAGTATTAACCACAAAAACAATGAAACTCTATTTCATTAAATATGATATAATAAAATGTCTTTCTCGTATCATCATACCTGACCATAGGCAAACACGGTGGCGTTGTAGCCCTCAAAGCAGCCCTCGATGAGCTTGTGCACACAGGCCTGGTAGATGCTGTGCTGCTCTGAGTCGATGTCAAACACAAAGTCATAGGTGAAGGCCTTGTCCTTTCCCAGCAGCACTTGTGGTTCTCCAGGTGTGACCATTGTGCACACGTGGCAGCCCTCGATCTTCTCCTTGGCCATCTGAGGACGAATCCTGGAGGGAGACAAATTAAAACATTAAAATGAGTGTCATCACACCTCAGCAGACGGGGCAGTGACTGTGACTGTCTGCAGTATCTTAATGTTTCGATGCACTGTGAAGATCAAACATGACGATTTGATCTAAAGGCTGTTCTCCTCGTGATTATTTCATAAGACAGCGCCTTATAAAAGAGTCCATAGAAAGACGTCCACATCTAAACCAAAACTATGAATTAATAAATCTACGCTATAAATAAAAAACTCTGGATTGCCATTCTACCAGAATTGTTATGACACCAAGCTGACTACAGGTTTTGAGTGTTTCATCCTAAACTACAAGCATTCCCAGTTGACGTTTTTATTTTAAATCAATGCAACAGAAAGAAATGTCTTCACTCCACACATTGTCAAGACCCACAAATTACCCAGAATACAACTCAATTCAATGTACAGATTTAGAGAAAGAGGGGGCAGGCAGCAGACGTCGAAGTCCCCATCACTTTTCTTTCATTTTGAAACTTGTTTTTCACTCAGCAAACTAACACGACATAGATTTCCCACAAATGCTATAATCCTTGACTGTTCTGTGATTGTTTTCTTACTTTTGGACAAGACACTTTTTTTTCTTTGAGTGGTAGAGGAAAGTGGAGCACAGTCGCACAAATCTGTGGTGCGATACATACAAGACAGACAAGACATTCATAAAACTTTGTAAGGTGGAATAAGGATGGAAATCTGAATACAATCAGGAGGAACAACCCCCAGCACAAAGCACTTACATCAACAACAGCTCAGTTGTTGTTGATCTACACACTTGGAGAACGTGTGGACAATCATCATCGAGGCATAAGGACAGTTTAGAGAAAATCTAGTGCAAGTGACGGGCCACTGAAGAAGATAAGACACACTTTGGCTCATAAGTCATTATCACAGCGGCTGTTAATACTGCTGAACAGGACTCTCGGTTCTGCTGGGCTTTCCATCTTGACAGGTACTTCACTGCAGTTAATTGCTTTTAACCTGACAACGCAGCTCTACAATAATCCCTGATTAGATGAGAACGAAAGAGAAGCAGTCACTGTGTAACATCTGCGTACTCACTGACAGAATGAGGGCCGAGTTTTTTTTTGGGTGGATTTTAACTTGTTTGCTACAGGCAGGCGAGACGGACAGCTGATTAACCGACACGTTTTTTTAATTATAAGAGAACTTTGGGTCTAGTGTTGCTCTCACATAACAAAAAGTACATAAAACAAATCTGTTGCATCACCCAGTGTTAGTCTTGGGCTTTCAGAGCTACAATGTGGACACGGTGGAGAGGTAATCACTTTAAGCTGCGGAAAAAGCTCTGAGACAGCACTATTGGAGCGCTGGGTCTTCCTCTCCACATGTAAAACACCCCCCCGCCTCATGGTTCAATCTTCAGGGGATGCAAATCAACTCCCCCGCACACTGAGACCACACAAGACACTCCCTTTGGGATGCTAGAACAAAGACAGATACACACACACTGTATAAAGCCATACAGAGCAACAAGAAATCCCCAGCAACCACACACAGCTGCTGTAGGGACAGTGGGCGCACCACAAAGACAGACACACACACATTTTGAATGCATCCGACTGTATCTTCAGCACACACATGGCTCCCCTCTCAAGTGTGCATTAAGAGCCACACCCACCACAAACCCACGGTAATCCCTTCACCACACGTCGTTACGCTACAGGAGAAACACACAACAGAGCTGACAACAGCAGGTTTTTTTACCCATGGTTCGGGTCTTGAAGGGGTCGTCCAGAATAGTCCGATTCAGCAGCAGCACTAACCCGCACTGGATGTGACCTTGACACTGAGGTTAATGAAGCTAAAACCACACACACTGTATGAGTGCTGTTAAAAGACTATTATTAACAATGATGTGGCACAGGAGGAGAGGGTTGGCTCAGCACAATGGACAGTGTGTGTGTGTGTGTGTGCTGCAGCTGTGTCGTAAAAGGGTCGGAGGTCGTTCTTCTCTCCCTTTCTCTTTGTTTACATTCAATGTAAATCTGCCTTTTGTACAATGTTTATAGGTCAGAAGCACCAGGTGTAAAAGAGCAGACCGAGAAAGAGAGAAGACAAAGAAGAGAGAGAACGAAAGAAAGAAAGAAATGGGTCAAATATCCAGCAGATTGGGAATTTATATAAAATTATCAGATCCTTCAGTATTCAGACTCTGTGGCTTTGAGACGCCCCATTTTGCAATCATCAATCTTGCCCCATTAAGATAATTAACTTTTCATCATTACTCACAGTGAAAATAGAAAACCCAAGCAATACTTTCTGAATTTCGTCTTGGCTCCTGCATAGAGTACACTCAAGAGTATTTTCTCCTGGACCACTAACTGCTGCACTGGGCAGCCACGTCTCTGCTGTCAGGATTTACGTCTGCCGTCCAGTGACAGCATGCACACACTTCATGCCAATTCATGAATTCAGGCAACGTGGTTTACATTCAATTTAATTTCTGAAGAATTCCACACAAAGTACAAGCTCATGTTGACAGCTTTGGTTCAGCTGCAAACCGTTATCTTTGGTTCATTATTTAGAGCATGGTCGCAGTAACTCACAGGTCTTTCTCTGTATATCAATTATCTGTTGGAAACATTTTGCTTGAATGCAGACCGCCACACGTCCTATCTATATATTAAAATATTTCAAGGTCTGAGTTGCTAATCACAAAAAATTATTGTTTCATTTTGAGTTTGATAATTAGTGATTTGATGTATTTAAAAGCATAAAAGACACCATCAGCTTCTTCCCCAAATCTGTGGAACTCTAATATTATATTGTTATGTATCCTACCTCTTAAATACACTCTACAATATTCACATTATTTATCATAATATCTTTGCATCCTTGTTACCTTTACTTGTGTTTACTAACATTGAACTATTGGATTTAATTTGATTACATAGTTGCATGGTCTTTATATTTATATATTTTCCTTAGGATCCTCAAAACTGACAGCAGTTTTTACCTTCGCCAAGCAGGTTATGTTTTCTTCACGATTACATAAAACTTACTCAACTGATTTTCATGAAATTTTGTAGAAGGGTGTGGCATGACCCAAGGAAGAACCCTTGAAATTCTGGTGCAGATCCAGACAAATCCAGGAATGTTTTCCCACTCTCTTTAACATGGCGAGAGGTATGCGCTCTCCAAGTGCCCTTCTTGATTACTATTATCTGACATCTTACACGTAATTTATTGCTCAAAAAAGTATTGAATAATAATAACAATAATGAGCATACTTATTAGCTGCAGCCCAACATATAAGACAATCAAACATCTGCGTTCAGATTCAATGCTCTCCGCTCTTCACTCTCCCTCACTCCAGTGTCACAAAGAAGCAGGAAAAAGACGACCAAACATTTGACAATCTCTGCATCAAATGAGAAGAGACAAACATTCCTGAGACACAGACACAAGGAAGACACAACAACAACAATGACAGCCCATCAGTGATCCACAGGTAGAAGAAATGGAGCAGCTATAAATAATCAATAACACACACACACGCACATACACACAAACATAAAATCACACTGCAGCTCAGCTGGATGAATATTTAAGCCAGCTGCACCAACAAAAGCTCAGATCTATAAAATTGATCGAAGGGGCAAACATAGTCCATACACACAAACATCTCAGACCACACATACACACACAAAATGACACATGTTTAACAGCTATAAATAGCCCATAACACCATGATTAAATGCCCATATGAGACTGGAGCACAGAGACAAACGCAGAAGCAGGTTGTGAATCCCTGATGCATCAAATTAAAGCTCAGCATCTCTTCTCATCTTTACACACTAATGGAAAAGTGGTTTAAATTATCCGGTGAATAAACAAGAGTCTTTCATAGACTTAACACACACAGTCTTTATACACAGGTGATTAGCGACCATGTTTTCACTCGTTACAGCAACCCCAGTTCAGTCAGTAACACGCGCGCGCACACTAAGAAAACTCATTAACACACAGGCTCTGAGGGGATTCACTTATTACAATAATCATCAAACCAAATGTTGCTAATTAGGGCAAGACCCAGAAAAAAACTGAAAAGCAAACAAATACACACAAACAGAGTATAATCCGGATCAAACCCTGATGGCAGCAAAAGTCATTGATGCGTGAGTTGAGATTGAATTAATCAACAACATGAGCAGAAGCTAAAACTGAATACTGTCCTCAAAAATCATTCTGATATTTACAACATTTCTCATCACATTCCTGTCATTGGAATCATAAAAGGATTCATATTTCTTTAAAAACATTGACTAGGAAGTCTGGGGTATTTATTTTTTTTTTTTTTATAAATTGAAAAAATATATACTTTGGAAACTGCTTGGGAAAAAGAATTCTGAAATCCAGAGTAACAAGTTGAAGTGTAGTGAGAAAAATTCCAAGAAGTTAACAATTTAGTCATAAAATTCAAAACTAAGATGTAATTTTATGAAAAAAAAAATGACATGGGGAAGTAGCGTGGGTCCTTGGGATCATGGGAGTTGTTGTCTTAGCCATTGCTGATGAAAACTCATTGGCAAATCATGTTCACTAATGTTCACTAATGAGGTCATGTCTGAATAATTGTGATCCATTACGACTGACCAATACAGTGGAAGGCAAAATCAGCTGACTGGCTAACAGTGTGTCCTTCCTTCATCATACGATGTTTGCCCCAGGACTTATAGAAGAGACAGACAAAGATACGGGTAAAGCAGATATTATGCGACCAAAAGGCAACTCAAATAAAACATCATTACCTTGAATGCAATTGGTATTTTTGAACATGGTTTGAACATTGGTGGAAACATTTTGGATAATGCAAGTACACAAGTCAACAAAATATATAACATAGGTCTGATCGTTTTTAGACATTTGAATGAAGGATTGTTACATATTACATCTTAAATAAATTGTATCGTTGCAAGAATCATAATGCTTAATAAAGAAGTCAAGGGA